TTTACCAATTTTAAAAAATAGTTGGATTCCTTTTTATAAGAATTAAATTATTTTCTATTTAGAATTAATATTTAGATAATGCATGTATACCTAGCACAGTTGATGGAAGAGTTGATCTTGTAAGGGATACTAGTCCCACATTTTCAAGGGACTGGAGCAGCATAGTCCACATTGATTGCTTTCATAGCAGCAGTAGTCGACTTCGAGCAATTACACGTTGCACGACAACTTAGAAAAACATCACCATTGTTTTAAAGATAACGTAGGCAAGGCGCAAGACTATTATAAACTTGTACACATGAATCTGCACTATAACAACATATGTTACTTGAAGTTTCCCATGGTATGTAATTATGTGATAAAAAAAGATAAAAAGGTTATTTAAAGTTTTTTTACCAAAATAACATTCAAGTTTTTTTTATTGGTTTGTTATCATATTAAAGTATAATTGTCTAATGTCTCTATTCATTTCTTCTCCAAAAAAACCATTAACAGTAGATAAGGTAATTGCAACTCTTAGTAGCCCTAACCAATTTATTTTTTCTTACCAATCACTCCCTCAAAAGAAACACACGACTGGATTTAAATTTATCCAGATAAGACTCCTTATTATCTCACTTAAATGATTTATATATAATTATGTTTTATTCCTTTGTCTTCTGTAAAAAAATGTAATTTAAATCACTTATAATAAACTGTTTTTGATTATATAATTTGAAATTTAATAAAATAAAAAATAAAATATATAATCATGTAATAATTTCACTTTTTGATCATATCATAATTATGAATCAAAAAAATTAGCAATATATAATCATGTAGTAATTTTCTTTTTTGATCATATCATAATTATGAATTATTCATAAACTCAATTTTAATATAGTTGAATTCATAAAATCCTTATGAACTAAGCAATCTTATCATTTCATAAAATAATTTATCTTTGTGCAAATAAATACATCATAACTTTTACTCAAAAAAATATAAAACACCTATTTGTTTCAAACAATATGTGGTACAATTAAATTGGATATGAGGAGCAATTAATATTTTTAATAAATTAAAATAAAATATTTTATTTTGATTATACACAAAAATAAAATTAAGCCAGAATAATATGGATCCATCTTTAAACTTTATTTGTGAGGTTTTATAATATAAAACTCTTGAAAAATAGCACATTTCAATAATTTCTATTTATTTAAAAATATAATTTATCAATTTTAAAAAATAGTTGGATCCCTTTTTATGAGAATTAAATTATTTTCTATTTAGAATTAATTTTTAGATAATGCATGTATATCTCGCACAGTTGATGGAAGAACTAATCTTAGGAGGGATAGTAGTCCCACATTTTCAAGGGACTGCAGCAGCATAGTCCACGTTGATTTCTTTGATAGCAGCAGTAGCCGACTTCAAGCAATCACAAGTTACACGACATTTAACAATGGTTTTAGCTACATTAATTAACCCTTTAACGCCCTAACAATAACTTGCCGAATCAACACCACCGTTCTGAAGATAACATAGGCAAGGCGCAAGGCTATTGTAAACTTGTACAAATGAATCTGAACCATAACAACATATGCTATCTTGATGTTTCCCACGGTAAGAAATTAAGTGATATTGGATAGAGCAAATGATAGGTGTGAGTTTGATGCAAGGTGGTAAGGGTTTTATATAGTGATTTTTGAAAAGTATTTTTATGGTTTTTGAGTTTGGTTGTGGTTAATGTTTGATGTGAAATATGAGCTTTATGTTTAGTCATTAGTTATGATGTAAGGGAGAACTGCTAAATAATTTTTAAATAGACACTTCGAAACTGCTCTTTTTAAATAAGCGGTGCCGAGTATATTGTTATATTCTTATGTTACATCACTATTATTATGAAAACATTTATATTATTTAATACTGATTTTTATAATATAATATTTAAATTATAGGACATAGAGTTCTAACTTGAAATGGAATAATGACTCTGGTTGAACTTTTTATTAATATTTTAAACACATCACATTAGTATACAGAATAAACGAAGGCGCACAAATATAATAGATATGTAAAAACTTAGTAAATGTGTTAAATATAAGAGAAAACTTGCTCTATCATAAATGCTAGAACTATGCTTTTTCTTTATTCTCTTTCATACTAGCATATAGCAATACCATATATTATTTCTGTTGAAGATTCAACATTCATAACATTTCACATCACTTGATACTACAAAAAAAAAATATAATAAGAAGAAATACTGTTATTTTTTATATACTAAAATGTCATCATAACATTAAATGTATAAACATTATGAATAGATATTTTTATTTTTCTTCATTTGAAATCACATATAAAAGTAAATGATTTTCTCATGCATGCAACCACTTTTTGTCTATTCCATATTATTGATTAAATTTAGTATTATTTATTTTTCTCTATCAAAGTACTTTGTTTATTTTAAAAATCTAAATAATTTTTTTTATCTTTGTCCAAATAAATACATCACAACTTTAACTTCAAAAAAATATAAAACTCTTATTGTTACTTCAAAGAATATCTGGCATAATTAATTTGGATATGAGGAGCGATTAATATTTTTAATAAATTAAAATAAAATATTTTATTTTAATTATACACCAAAATAAAATTAATACAGAATAATATGGATCCATATTTAAGCTTTATTTGTGAGGTTTTATAATATAAACCTCTTGAAAAATAGCACATTTCAATAATTTCTATTTATTTAGAAATTTAATTTATGAATTTTAAAAAATAGTTTGATCCCTTTTTATAAGAATTAAATTATTCTCCGTTTAGGATTAATATTTAGATAATGCATGTATACCTAGCATAGTTGATGGAAGAACTGATCTTGTATGGGATACTAGTCCCACATTTTTAAGGGAGTGCAATAGCATAGTCCACATTGATTCCTTTGATAGCAGCAGTAGCCGACCTCAACCAATCACAAGTTGCACGACGGTTAACAATTCTTTTAGCCGCATTAACTAATAGGGAAAATACTGGATACCCGATTAGAGGAGGGACTATTGTATCTCTGTTATTGCTAATCTGTGACTAAGTCCTAGAACTACGCCTGGAGACAACTAAAGCGAGATAAAGTATGGAATACGATAGCCTAAGTTTACTGCTAGTTATGATTCATCTAACCCCAAGTGATGCCATATAAATACGCTAGGTGTTGGGTAATTAGATGGATGAAAACTAGCATCTATCCAGAACATCAGCGGGACGACCGTAGTTGTGCCAAGTTGTTTGAAACTGTGATATTCCTTTAGGGTGAAATTACCCTTAGGCTTTCTTATGCATGCATTGTGCAAGTGAGTACACGCATGGCATAACTTTTCAACCTGAATTTTTTAAACCAATCTTATCTAGCTTGTTGCTTTCGAGTAAGTGAACCCTGAGCATGTGACACATTTAGGTTTTGCATCCTAAGGAGTTTGGCTGGAAGGTTTTGAGGAATGATGACCTCAGTGGAGTCCTTTTCAGCCACTTGTTGACCATAATTATAGGATATGGGTGGAGATCGTTATATGCTACAGGGTAGGTTACTTGAGATCATGGCCTCAAAGTTGGACCACCATGTTAGTACTACCAGACATGTATAACACCACAATATCGCTAACTTGCACGAAATCTGACAGATGTGGGATAGTGTTGATCTGGAACATATGGTAAGTTTCGAATTTGGTATTTGTGAGACGTGAACATGAATTCTCCTGAGGAGGGTTTAATGAGGATCCATATTTTGTGTTGGATGGTAGGGAACTACTAGGAAATAATGTGATGGATCAAGTTTCATTACCATTCTTAAGAGGAATCTGAGTGGTTGTGGTCGTGTAAGCAATGTCAGTTTCGGTGAACGGGAACACATTGGATTTAGAGTGTGAGAAATCCAAAGGAGGATGTTTGAAGCGCAAGTGTTATTCTTTGAGTTGCAGTCGTGTTCTGGACATTAGAAACGTGCGTTGGAAATGCAACCGAAGTAGCCAGTTTAGTAACAGTCTTGGAAACCACGTGGCATGGCAATGAAGGAATCCTAAAAGCTTTAAGTGGGAAATTGAAACTACATCATGTATGAGAAGGATCTTGAGATTGTGCTGGTATGGAACTGCATGGTTAGAGGAAGGCGTATGAGGTTGCATTGGTTTGTAGGATCATTCGATAATCCCGAAGGAAATCAGAGGCGTTACGAACAATATTAGTCGACTACTTGGGCGAAGTGTAGTTGTGAAAGGATTATTGCACTGCTTAAGATACACTAGTTATCAAAGGTGTTATCACACTAAGAGTATGAAGTTTTATGGTAAGGTAGGAACTATGGGAAGTTGTTAGTGTTGTCATAGTTGTTGTACGATGTGGAAGCCGGTGGAATAGAATGAACTTATGTTTTAGTAAGCATTTGACCTTAGACATTCCGTAGTCGAATCGTGTGACCAAATTATATTCATGGGCTTAACCAAGACTGATGGAATCAATAGTGACCTTATCTTGGAATTACTCAACCTTAAGGGGTGTTCTTTGTTGAGTGTGTTCAAGACTCCAGTGGGTATTGTGATTGGATGAACTCCGACAAAGGAATTTGTTGTTTAATGGATCAAACCAAGTGTAGTAGAGAAATGAAACGAAGTGGATTATGGAGAAAGTGTGATTTAGTAGGTTTCAGGAATTGTGTGGCAGGTTGAGATCAAAGTAGCACAACGGATGGAAGGAGAACCTGATAAGTTTGTCGTAGGTGCAAATGGAATACTTGTAACAAGTGTTAAGTGGAGTAACCTTCCTAAGAGAAACTCACTGAGCAATGTTTTATTCATTCTAGTATCTCAAGGATCCACCTTAATCTAGATAGATGTGGTTAATGGATGGTGTTAGAGGAGACTTCATGAATGGAATTTTGTAAGATGGTTATGAGTCAACGATTGAGCTTGTAATCACTGAAAACTAAGCAGGTACACAATTTTTCTTGAAGTAAACTCTTCATGATTGTTCCTTGTCCACTTGTGCACGTGCTCGGAGACTTGGATGATGAATGTAAGTTAACTGTTAGAATTTATCTTCGTCAATGAGATGTGTGTGGAATTGTTGTATATCAATGTTATAGCTGTAAGAATGCATATCCTTGTAGCATCCAGTGGGAATGCTTTGTGTAATTTGAAGTGACAAGATTTGTAGTGTGAAGAAGGTAGACTTGGAATAAGTCAATCTGAACATTAGGGAATTAAAGGTCAGGATCAACGAATTCGTTAAGCATCTGTAGGACATTGTTTGCACTTGTATTGAAGAGAATCGGAAATGGTTATTAGAATGAGACGCTGAAATAGAAATGTATGGATTTGATGTAATGCAAGTAAACCAAAGGGGAGGAAGTGTAATTAGTGATTTGTGTAAAACAAGGATGAGCTTGACAAACATTGAGAATGAGGAATGTCCGACCATAAAGGATTGCCAAGAATCCTGAAGCTATGAAGGCTCGGGGTGAGTAAATAAAGGTCGGGAACCTTGGACAGATTATTTCTCAGGTATGTCCGGACAAGATGTCAGGAGAGACGTGTTGTGTGACGGCTAAGTTTACAGTCAAGATTTTTAGTATGCATGTGTCTAAAAAAGTTGAGTTAATTTATATTTGGATGGAATAATATTCAGACGAATTCACAGAATTTAACCAAAGGAGAATGTAAGGAACGTTCATCCTCTCAATGAAAGAAGGTATGAGGAACCTGTTGTCATGATAATTGGAAGGAATTCGAGGGCACATTCTCTAAGTGTGAGAATGTGTAAAATTAGAGTTATCAAGAGGAATGAATGCAATGGTTAGAATTCAAAGGAATAGTTAGAAACTAACTAAGTGGCATGGGAGTAAATACCACTTTGATAAAGGGCAATTTAGGCATAGAAGAGAAAGTATAACATAGAAAAAAAGGGTTGTTTGGCTAGAGATCAATATCGAAGAGGAAATACATAGAATCAAGAGAGAAAGAAGAAGGAATACATGATCAAACCCATTTTCGTATTCCATGGTGCAACTCCACTAAAAAGGTAATATCTCTTAGCTCACAACTCGGATTGAGATGATTCCATATTTTTTGGAAAGCTTTCAAAATTATCTTCATTTTTGTATTCCTAGATTATGTATTGAAGGAGAAAAACATGTTTGAAGTTAGAAGGTTCATGCTGGAATGGGTCAAAGTATGGTTATGAATTTGATGATCATGAAGGTAGAGTTTGGGCCAAAGGAGAACCTTGAGAGCACCATTATCACTCTCTTAACCTCTTCAACTCAGAATCTTCAACTTGAGATGACTTCCATTAGTTAGAACTTTGGGTAGGATTGATTGGGAAAATTCATGTTGGGGATTTTTGGAGAGATACCATCAGTACAAGAAAATTAGGATTTTACGACACAAAAATTGCGACAGTTACTTGATAACCGTCGTAATTCTAATATAGAGACACATTTCACGACGGTATACACCAATCGTCCTTATATATTTAAAAAATTATTAAATATTGCGACAATTTTTTATTAAACCGTCCTAAAATCAATGTCGTGACGGTTAACAAACCACCATAAAATACACATCACGACGGTATAACAACCGTCGCCCCGTACACTACAAAAAAGTGATAATAATATAATATATTTATATATTTATCAAATTAAATTAATATAAAAAAATTAAAAGATTTTCTAACAAAAGAACATAACAGGTCCAAAAGCTTCTCCTTTTTTCTCTTCTCGTCGCTGCCCGACATCACCGGCTTCCACCACAACCATGTCTTCTCTTCATTTCAACCTCCATCCACTCCCTCCATCTGTTGGATGTATCTTTGGTACGTCATTCTCTCGATTTCAATTCTTTTTTCTACTTCTTCTTGTTGTTGCTGCTAATTTACCATAATTAGGGTTTTAGATCTCATAGTAGAATTGTTGCACTACATAGTATAATTTGAACAAATTGTTAGGGTTTTGTGTAAAATTAGGTGGATTCGCGGCAGTGATGTGTAGCGGAACTCAAATGAAAATTTTTGATCTGCTATTGATAATACCTAAGGTGCCTTAAAGTATTTCATGATTTCGGTTGAGTTGGATTGCATCCCAAATATGACTTTAGGAATCAAATTGAATGGAATTGAGTTGGGGATTATTTTCATGAGGGAGAATATCGTGAATCTCTTAAGACGGTTTTTGTGATTTGGATACTTTTCTTTCTCTATTAATGATGGAAATGTAATTGATTGATTGATTGATTGTTTGTTTGTTTATGCAGCTGAAATGGTGAGGAGACATGCTTTGTTTCCGGGGGATTCTGAATATCAGCAGCTTCTTAATATATTCAAGTAATAAATCGATGAAGGTTCATTGAGGTTCATTTTGATAAACCGACGAAGGTTTGTGATTTGTGTTGTTGTTATTGTAGGGTAATGCGGAGAAGTCCAGAATAATTATGGTCGGTGATACTTTGAAGAAAGCTGGTGATTCATCTCAGAATAGTCTTATTAAAGACGTTGGAGATACACAGTATGGCTTCTGATTTTACTTTTTGAGTTGAATGTGGTTTTCAATAATTAAAAGGTCTTAAACACAGATCAAACAGAACAACACCGAAAGCTTAATCCCGCTAGCAGTTCCTGCCGTCGTTCATAGCACCGGCGTGCTTCTCCGTCAACCTTCTGTTCCACTCCTATGCCGTACGCATTATCTTTTCTATTTTCTTACTTAATTAAAACTTCAACTCATTCTCTGCATATTCTTAATCATGAAATATTCTGATTATAGTTTTCCACTGAATTAAACTTAACAATTTGTTTCACATGACCTTTTATTTTATTTGTGTTAAGAAATGTGGTTGAATGGGCTTAGAGTTTAACCATATCTGCGTTTTGTAGGCTCTGTTGCGGTGCTACTTTTATGTTTGCTGTCTGTAAGGTAAAATCACTTTTGCTATGCTTGTTTTGCTTGGAATTTGTTGTTTATCTGAATGTTTATGTAAGTTGCCCTATCGAATTGAAACATAATAAGGTTTTAATTTTATGTTTTCTAAAGAAACTCTACAATTGGATGACTCAGTTGTTACTAACTGTGATTTACACAATCACAGTTAATAAAGAGCAGATAAGAGATGGTGGTCATTCATATAATATAATTGTTCATGCTGGTGATGTGAAAGTTTTGATGCTTTTACTACCTGATAAGGGCCACTGTTGTTACAAAATGAACATGTTATAATTTTTTTGGTGTTGACACACTTTAATCATGTAAAAATGAACAATTTTTTATGTTTTTGAAATTTGTCTTTGAATCTTGTGATAAAATCATTATTGTTTTTTCTGATAGTTGTAAGTTATAATAATTTATGTGATAATTATTTTTGTAGAGATTGCTTCTATTACAATTGTAAAATTAAAATTGAGGTTGCGGCATTACATGCATTGTGGTTGTAGAATTATAATTGTAATTATTATCGTTGTGGTTGCGGTGTTACAATTGTAACTGCGGTGGATATATGAGACGATACAATTAGAAAATTAAAAGATGCAACTGTTATGTTTTTCAGAGAGACAATCAGTAAATTAAATGAACAAAAAGACATGCTTGTGAAAAAGGAGATGATCTATTTTAAATTTCATTTGTGTGACATTTAGTTTGAATTGCTATCTCAAGTTATGACTTATATGTGTTCATAACATCCGAACTATACAATATTCTTTGAAAATTTTAAATTAATTAAGTACTTTAATGTTTTGAACTATACAATATTCTTTGAAAATCTTAAATTAATCAAATACTTTAATGTTTTGTATAATATATTGTATAAGAATATCATTGTATACATTATCTATTATTTCAACAACATTTTTTAATAATATTCTAATATATCAAATCAACATTAACTATAATTTTTAATATAATTTATGCCACTTGATATCATAACAGTAGAATAAAATCCTCTACTTTATCAATAATGATTAAAAAAATCTGTTTAAATATAATTTATGTTACTTTATGACACAGAAGTACAGACGAATCCTTAACTTTACATTTTAATACTTATACTTTATTATATATAAATTACAGTAGAATAAAATCCTGAGACACTTTTGATTTTGATTTTGATTCAGGATACTAGAGTTGCATTATTGTTTACTGGAGTGAGAAACATTGACATACTCAGGAAAACTAACAACCTTACTGTGAATTCAAGTATATCACTGAACTGTATTTTCCTCACTATTCTGTACACATTTTGAAACAAGCTTTTGGTCTTGTTTTTGACGACTTTGAAACACATTGGGCCGGTGTTGAGTGTGATAAATTGAAAGCTCTAATTGTTTCATGGACTAGGGTGCAGATTTTTATTTTGCAAAGATAGTAGAAGAAAATATATTGGCCGAGTGAGGTGCGCAACTGCAGTTCCTGGAACTAGAGAGAGGATGGAGATGGAGAGGAAAGAGAGGGTAAGAAAAGCTGAGGCGTTGGTTGAGAAAGCAATGAAAGGGAATGATGCTTCTCACGATGCAGTGCATGTTTGGAGGGTTCGTGACCTTGCTCTCTCCCTTGCCTCTGAGGAAGGCCTCTCTTCTGATCCACACTCCATGGAAATCGTAACTATCCTACGTTCTTTCTCTTTCTACTTTACCATTATAAAATGTACATTTTATTTTTTAATCTTCATGTGCTCGCCTGCATAATAATAATGCAGTTACAGCTGGCACCTGTTTTCTTTACTTTCTCGCTTGGAACGAAAATGCACTATTTTGGGCGCACTCTCCTGCATGGAGGGGCAAAGTACTGAGCAACTGGGCATGGATTTGTCGTTCGTCATGAAAAGTTTGCAGACAATTACAGGATGTACTCTAGGAGTCACTTTGTCAAAGGGATTGAGCTCACAATATTGCTCATTTGTTATATGATTTATGGATCAGCAACAACTGACTCAGCAGCATATGCATTTCTGTCATGGTCAATGTGGTTTTTGGTTAGCTCTTGGTTGTTTGCTCCTTTCCATTTCAATCCATCGGGATTTTAATGGCAGAAGATAGTTGAGGACTGGGATGATTGGAATAAATGGATTAGTAGTCGAGGTGGTATTGGTGTTTCTTCAAACAAGAGTTGGGAGTCATGGTGGGATGAGGAACAAGAGTTAGGAGTCATGTGCCTTCGCAGACAACAGGAAGCCGAGGAAATTCAGGGCCTGTTTGTGGTTCTAAAATAAATGAGTTACCTAACAACCATTCATCAAACACACTGTCTAGGAGTGAAGTTATTGCTTCCAGTGGCTTAGGTCGAAGCAACAGTTTAACAAACAAAACTCATACTGCTCTACATGCAAATCCTAAGGAAAAGCTTGTCAATGCTAGCTTCGTAAAACATCAAAGCAATAATGTGGCAAGTCTGTCACATGAGAACCCATCCCTCGGAAATGGTTTCATAGATCATGTCCAACCTAATGGTTCTTGCTTGAGACAGGAACAAAATGTAGCTTTGCCAGTTGTAGATAACAAATTGCAACATGCTGAAATGGGATCTACAGAAGTTCTAAGGTCAGAGCGGGTGGTTATTCCTGAAAACTTAGACGGGGAAGAGCAATATATCGAAAGTGATAATGATATTCCTTATTATTCTGATATAGAGGCGATGGTAAGGCATGTTTTGTTGACCTTTCGGTCAACAGTTGGCTTAACCTTTTCCACAATTTTTGCAATTTTCTAAGTTATTTATGATTCTCTCCTACAGATACTTGAAATGGACTTGGAACCTGATGTTCAGGATTTCATGAATTTTGTAGAATATTGTAACATTTTTTGTAATTCTCTCAAGTTGTAGCAAACCAATGTAAATATTAAAATGAAATTTGGCCTTTGATGATATTTGAATTTTTCTTGTTTATTGGTAAAATTTGCACTTCTTTTTACCTTTGATCACATTTTTTTGATATTATTGATGATTATTTGATATTAAATGTTTTTATTGTAATTAACTTTATTATGTTGAAAAGTGATAGAAAATAAAATAAAAATACTATAAATAAAAAAATATTAAAGTAAATAATAATTTAAATATAATAGTAAAATATTATAGTAAAATAATATTATATTTAAAATTATTTTACTAAATAATAATTTAAATAAAAATATTATTTGAAATTTATAAATCAGATTACGACGGTTAAAACCGCCGCAATTTCTAACCTACGGCGGTAGAATAACCGTCGCAAACAACAACAAAAACAAAAAATAAAGTCAAATTCACGACGGTATATAACCGTCGCTATCTGTTGTGCGTGACAGTTTTTGCAACCGTCGCGAAATAGGCTGGGGACGCACGATTCTGCGACGGTACTTCTACCGTCGTAGATTGTAAATTGCGACGGTTTTTACCGTCGTAATCAGCCAAAATAACCGTCCCAATCTATCACTTTTCTTGTAGTGCATGTTTGCATGCTTGATCAATCAATAAAAAATGAATTCCTATAATGTTAATTTATGCATTGGATCATTATTGTATATTAAAGTTTGAATTAGGATCGTTTGGGATGCCAAGAATGGTGTTAGAACCCCAAAATTCGTATGTTGCACTATCAGGTTCGCTTAGCGAGCTCTGAGTTTGCTTAGCGAATGTCTGCAGACTGCACAAAATTGTGTTTCACTAAAATAGGCATAACTTGAGATTTACAACTCGAAATGGAGCACCATCGGAAGCTTTGAAAAGGTCTTTAAATGATATATATGAATACACTTAGATATTATTAATTTAGTCAAGTTTGTGATATATGGCATTGGATACTAAGTGACCTAATTAATGAATAAGTATATATGGATTTTGGAAATAATAGTTGGAATATGATTCCTCGTGATAATCATACATATGGTATATGACTTATTAACCTTCTCCTTTATTATAATGGTCATGTGAATTTGGTTTTAGGCAACCTATAATTTGTTGAGTTTGCACCTTTGCTTAGCGAATTATAGTTTTCTTAGCGAAGTGATCAAATCTGAGACTTAGTTAATTGAATGAATTACTCGCATTTAGCTTGCTTAGCGAATCGGGAATTCGCTGGGAGTTCGCTTAGCGAACATGCTTTGACAAAAACTTATAATTTTCTCCCAAGTGCAGATTGTTCCGAATCAGGAACGAATTACCTTAGTAACTATCTAATGATACTATATGTGTGTCTAAGGCTAATGTGTTACCATGTATTCTCTTTTAAATCTTCATGTATGTTATTTGTGCCTAATACATGTTATTATTGAAAGGTTTTATGTGTTGGAAAAATGTATGGACATTGTGATTTTCCGTACGTTCTGGGGTGGACGATTCAGATGTGTTGATCTTGGTGGCTTGATTTGATTGTGCTTTTTTGTGCTAGAAACATAGTACTGACAGGGTAAGCCTAGACATGGCGTCATGTTTAGGCCAATCATGTGTGTTTTGTATGTGTGATATGCTTGAATCGAAGTAGGCCTGCTAATAGATGGTAAATAACTTATGACCGCTCTGTGTATTATACCATTGTGAGGTGCAGTTGGGGGTCCTTTGGGGCATTTCCCCACATGTGGAGATCACATTGGCGTTCTTGGCATATCTTACGCACCGGAAATACTATTATGATGTGCGGTTAGGAGTCCTTTGTGGCGTTTCACCGCTTGTGGGGATCACATCGGTGTGCTTGGTATGGTGAGGTAGTGATACCATGTAGGATACACTTCTCGAGTAACTCTCCTCTAATGGTGCCACCTAAGCAAGACCATTAGACTTTCGCCCAGTGGGCTCGTGTTGTTAAGCAGATGGAATTCCAATTAGGAATGATCTGTTTCATCACACTGTATGTTGGTATAAGTTTTTTAATGCGATGCATAGGGTGGCACATTGAGGGTGTGAATGTGTAGTCTATTGAGCAGGTAGAACATACTTATGGATTCCTTGTACACGGGTACGGGTCTGCATATTGTTCGTGGCTGTTGTGCCGATTGTTTGTGGCTTTGTGTTGGTTACGTTTTCTTGCCGCCTCATTAGATAGTTATTGGACTTCCAATGGTGGTGTACCGTTGTTGTGTATTTGCACCTACTGTAAGGTAAAACCTCGGGTTCTCGGTAAATCCATTCTGATGCATGCACCATGTAGAATCGAGTGAACCCATAAGATAGGGGAACTCACTAAGATTTAGTAATCTCACCATAATCCTCTTATTATTTTTCAAGAACAGTTTATAAGTGTAGAGTTGTTAGATGGTCTGTTTCGAAGACTGTAGACGAGCAGAAGGCAGGAAGACCTTGTAGACGTTATCATTCCGCTGTGCAATATTGAAGACAAGCTTATTGTACATGTTCAGATTTGGAGTTGTATTGTATACAGTTTAAATTTCTTGTCTTTCCTAGCTATTTGTATGTTTCATTGTACAATTTTTAGTGCCACTGCATATTATTCTAAACGTATATGTACGGGGTAATACATTTATCATAATTAAATCGCGTGGGAATTGATTTTTGGTTAGTTTGGTGAGTTTCAGGTTTTTTTTTATTTAAATAATTAATTTGTAAGACATTAAGCCAACCACTTAATCACTCTAGGATGTTTATCCTGGTATTTGCGAAATGTTAATTTAGTTTGATTAAGAGATAAAATTTGATTTATGTATAAATTAGGTAATTACAAAGGAGTGATATTAATTTTGACATTAAGATTGAGAAGTCCTAAAATTATGTACAAGAATGATTATTTTCAGTTGTTTTTGTAATTAGCAACTTATGTACAAGTTAACAATTTAATCAACTAACTACTTTAATTAATTTAATTAGGCTACAAAATAAATTATTTTAAAAACTGGAAAATCTAATCAACCTAATAACCTAATTATTTTAGTGAAACTAATTACATATAATGAGATTGATTTTTTTTAAATTATTTACGTATAATATGATCAAATTCATTTATAAAAAAAATTAAAATTTTAACCTAATTAGAATACATTATGTGAGTACAATAACATATTAAGGGAGCATAAGTTAATAACACAATTTTAGTCAAGGCCCAATTATTAAAAAACCCTAATTAATTTAAAACTAAACAAATATTAAAAAAATTGAAAACTAAAGTTAACACATTTGGGGTGGCGTGGTTCCCCCTGTTACTATACTAATTCCAAAATTTAAGAAATATAAAAACAACCAAAGCTAATTTATTAATATTATGACAATAATACTCCAGATCTTTTCAAACCTTTTCCAAACCACCATTTATAGTATGACATGTGGAATTGAATTAATTAAAACCAAACAGATAACAATTACCACTTACTAATATATGGTAAAGTATGGTAGATATCACGCGTGCGGATGATGAAACGGAGGGAAGGACGCCACGTGAAGTGCTTTGTTGGTTGAGGGTGGCTGGGAAGTCGTGGTGATGTGTTGTCGTGATTTCGTCGGAGATTTCTGGATAGCGATTGAGTTATTTTTTATTTGTGTTTCTTTTTTTCTCTTAATCTTCTTCCTTCTATTTGAGGTTTTGAAATTGTGTTGATTTAATGAAGATTGTGAAGTTTATAAACTTGTGCACAAAAGTTTTGTACGGATCGGATTTTGTTTGAAACAATTGTTAAGAACTGTTGTTGTGTTTGCGATATAAATCTATGAAAAGGTTTATGTAAAATGTTGTTTGAGATAAAAATCTATAATATATTTATGCAAAAAGTTATGTTTATGTTTTTACAGTGATGGAATTGATGAGGATGGTTTTGACAGTGTGGTATTTGTGAATTTTAAAACTACACTAAAATATTAGAAATTGTGTGTTTAGAATTTGTTAAAAAAAATATGTACAAACTTTTGTGTGTGGATGTTATATACAATTGTTAAAAATAATAAATAGATTTAAAAATAAGAGAACCATCAAAAAATTCATCATATGGTTTTAACAACAAAAGAATTAAAATTAAAAGGAATTGAAAATAAAAAGGATTCCTCATATGAAATTTATTGGCCAAAAATAAAGAAATTGCTGATAATTTATAAAGAAACTGCTTTGAAAATGAATTGTAAAAATATTTTGTGAGGAGTGTGAATTGTGAGAATTTGAGAAAATTGTGGATTAATAAGAATGTGAAAATAATAGTGTATTTATAGGGATAATTAGGTCAATAAAATAAGAAATAAAGTTAATTAAAAAATTAGATCTTTCTTCGTTAACAAACTGCCCAATCAGAAGATGAGTATATCACAAATTGACACAACTTGACCAATAAAAAATAGTTAACAGAAAAGGAATTATTTTTGGTATTTTTTATAATGTATGCACTTCTTTTTGATAAAAAGTGCATAAAATCAATTAAATAATTATTTTTGAAAAATACTTTAAAATAAAAACGAAAATTAAAATAAATAATAAAAATAAAATTTTGTGATTTTAAAAATAGAAATAAAGTTAGTAACAAATGAAAATCTCATGATTGTTATGACTTTGTGCAAGAACTCTACCGGTGGCTATCCATGGCATCTTACTAAAAAATTTAGGAGTAACTATAGCAATATATATTGTGCTTATAATCTAATGCTATATGTCATAGCATTCTTGATTTTAAAAAATTATATGAATTAGAAGACTATGGTGCGATAATCTTGTGTCAATTAGAGATGTACTTCGCTTAATTGTTCATCCAAGCCTGAGAAATTAGATTTTATGGTCCAATTTATTTAAGGTGCTTGTATCAAATAAAGTGATACATGAAGATCTTTAAAGGATGTATGAAAAATCATCACCGACCGGATGCTTGGATGGAGAAAGTTACATCATACATGCATGAAGCTTTTGAATCATGTTCAAA